CCCGCCCCATTCTCCCTCCTTCCATCACCCCGCCTCATTCTCCCGCTTTCCATCACCCCGCCCCATTCTCCCACTTTCCATCACCCAGCCACATTCTCCCACTTTCCATCAGCCCCGCCCCATTCTCCCTCCTTCCATCGCCTGCCCCATTCTCCCTCCTTCCATCATCCCGCCCCAATTCTCGCTCCTTCCATCACCTCGCCCCCTTTTCCCGCTTTCTATCAGCCGCCCCATTCCACCGCTTTCCATCAACCCGCCCCATTCTCTAGCTTTCCATAACCCGCCCCATCCTCCTGCTTCCCATCACCCCGCCCCATTCTCCCGCTTTCCATCACCCACCCCATTCTCCTCGCCGCTTTCCATCACCCCCCCATATTCCCGCTTTCCATCACCCCGCCCCATTCTCCAGCTTTCCATCAGCCGCCCCATTCTCCCGCTTTCCATCACCCCGCACCATTCTCCCGCTTTCATTACTCGCCCCATTCTCCCCGATTCCCATCACCCGCCCCATTTCTCCCGCTTTCTATCACCCGTCCCCATTCTCCCTCTTCCATCACCCCCGCCCCATTCTCCCGCTTTCCATCACCCCGCCCCATTCTACCACTTTCCATCACCTCCCCCTTTCTCCCGCTTTCCATCACCCTGCCCCATTCTCCCGCTTTCCATCACCTGCCCCCCTTCTCCCGCTTTCCATCACCCTGCCCGATTCTCCCTCCTTCCATCACCCCACCCCCATTCTCCCGCTTTCCATCACCCCGCCTTATTCTCCTGCTCTCCATCACCCCGCACCATTCGCCCGCTTTCCATCACCCCTCCCCATTCTCCTGCTTTCCATCACCCCGCCCCATTCTCCCTCCTTCCATGACCCCCCCCATTCTCCTCCATCCATCACCCCACCCTATTCTCCCAATTTCCATCACCCCACCCCATTCTCCCGCTTTCCATCACCCCGCCTTACTCTCCCGCTTTCCATCACCTCGCCCCATTCTCCCGCTTTCCATCACCCCACCCCATTCTCCGCTTTCCATCACACGCCCATTCTCCCGCTTTCCATCACCCCGCACCATTCTCCCCGTTTTCATTACCTCGCCCCATTTTCCCGCTTCCCATCATCTCGCCCCATTCTCCCGCTTTTCATCACACCTGCCCCATTCTCCCTCCTTCCATCACCCCACCCATTCTCCCGCTTTCCATCACCTCGCCCCATTCTCCCGCTTTCCATCACCCCGACCCATTCTCCCGCTTTCTATCACCCCGCCCCATTCTCCTGCTTTCCATCACCTGCCCCATTCTCCCGCTTTCCATCACCCCACCCCAGTCTCCCGCTTTCCATCACCCCGCCCTATTCTCCCGCTTTCCATCACCCCGCCCCATTCTCCCGCTTTCCATCACCCCACCCCATTCTCCCGCTTTCCATCACCCCGCCCCATTCTCCCGCTTTCCTTCACCCCTCCCCATTCTCCCGCTTTCAATCACCCCGCCCCATTCTCCCGCTTTCAATCACCCCACCCCATTCTCCCGCTTTCCATCACTCCGCCCCATTCTCCCTCCTTCCATCACCCCGCCCCATTCTCCCGCTTTCCATCACCCCGACCCATTCTCCCACTTTCTATCACCCCGCCCAATTCTCTCGATTTCCGTCACCCTGCCCCATTCTCCCTCTTTTTCGTCACCCCGCCCCATTCTCCCGCTTTCCATCATCCAGCCCCATTCCCCCGCTTTCCATCACCCCGCCCTATTCTCCCTCTTTCCATCACCCCGCCCCATTCTCCCTCCTTCTATCACCCTGCCCCATTCTACGCGCTTTCCATCACCCCACCACATTCTTCCACTTTCCATCACCCCCGCCCCATTCTCCCTCCTTCCATCACCCCGCCCCATTCCCCCGCTTTCCATCACCCCGCCCCATTCTCCCGCATTCCATCACCCCGCCCCATTCTCCCCTCCTTCCATAACCCCGCCCCATTCTCCCGCTTTCCATCACCCCACCACCATTCTTCCGCATTCATCACCCCGCCCCATTCTCCCGCTTTCCATCACCTCGCCCCATTCTCCCGCATTCCATCACCCCGCCCATTCTCCCGGTTTCCATCACCCCGCCCCCTTCTCCCTCCTTCCATCACCCTGCCCCATTCTCCCTCCTTCCATCACCCCGCCCCTTTCTCCCGCTTTCCATCAGCCTGCCCATTCTCCCGCTTTCCATCACCCCGCCCCATTCTCACCGCGTTCCATCTCCCCGCCCCATTCTCCGGTTTCCATAACCCCGCCCCCTTCTCCCTCCTTCCATCACCCGCCCCATTCTCCCTCCTTCCCATCATCCCGCCCCTTTCTCCCCTTTCCATCAGCCCGCCCCATTCTCCCGCTTTCCATCACCCCGCTCTCCATCACCCCGCCCCGTTTCTCACCGCTTTCCATAACCCCGCCCCATTCTCACGCTTTCCATCACCCCGCCCCTTCACCCCGCTTTCCATCACCCCGCCCCATTCCGCTCCTCTCCGTCACCCCGCCCCATTCTCCCGCTTTCCATCACCTCGCCCCATTCTCACGCTCTCCATCACCCCGCCAATTCACCCGCTTTCCATCACCCCGCCCCATTCTCACGCTTTCCATCACCCCACCCCACTCCCGCTTTCCATCACCCCGCCCCATTCTCCCGCTTTCCATCACCCAGCCCCATTCTCCCGCTCTCCATCACCCCGCCCCGTTCTCCCGCTTTCCATAACCCCGCCCCATTCTCACGCTTTCCATCACCCCGCCCCATTCACCCGCTTTCCATCACCCCGCCCCATTCCGCTCCTCTCCGTCACCCCGCCCCATTCTCCCGCTTTCCATCACCTCGCCCATTCTCACGCTCTCCATCACCCCGCCCAATTCACCCGCTTTCCATCACCCCCGCCCCTTCTCACGCTTTCCATCACCCCACCCCACTCCCGCTTTCCATCACCCCGCCCCATTCTCCCGCTTTCCATCACCTCGCCCCATCTCACGCTTTCCATCACCCCGCCCCATTCTCCCGCTTTCCATCACCCGCCCATTCTCCCTCCTTCCATCACCCCGCCTCATTCTCCTCCTTCCATCACCCCGCCCCATTCTCCCGCTTTCCATCACCCCGCCCCATTCTCCCGCTTCCCATCACCCCCCCGCCCCATTCTCCCGCTTTCCATCACCCCGCCCCATTCTCCCGCATTCCATCACCCCGCCCCATTCTCCCCGCTTTCCATAACCCCGCCCTATTCTCCTGCTTACCATCACCCCGCCATATTCTCCCACTTTCCATCACCCCGCCCCATTCTCCCTCCTTCCATCACCCGCCCATTCTCCCTCCTTCCATCATCCCACCCATCTCCCTCCTTCCATCACCCCGCCCCATTCTCCCGCTTTCCATCTCCCCGCTTTCCATCACCCCGCCCCATACTCCCGCTTTCCATCACCCCGCCCCATTCTCCCGCTTTCCATCACCCCGCCCCATTCTCCCGCGCTTTTCCATCACCCCGCCCCTTTCTCCCGCTTTCCATCACCCCGCCCCATTCTCTCGCTTTCCATCACCCCCCCCATTCTCCCGCTTTCCATCACACCGCCCCATTCTCCTGCTTTCCATCACCCCTCTCCGTTCCCCTCTTTCCATCACCCCGCCCCATTCGCCCTCTTTCCATCACCCCTCCCCATTCTCCCTCTTTCCATCACCCCGCCCCTTCTCCCTCTTTCATCACCTCGCCCATCCTCCCTCTTTCCATCACCCCGCACCATTCTCCCGCTTTCCATCACCCTGCACCATTCTCCCCGCTTTCCATCACCGCACCCATTCTACTGCTTTCCATCACCCCGCCCAATTTTCCCTCTTTCCATCACCCGACCCATTCTCCCTCTTTCCATCACCCCGCCCCATTCTCCCCCAATCCATCACCCTACCCATTTTCACTCTTTCCATCACCCCGTCCCATTCTCCCGCTTTCCATCAACCCGCCCCATTCTCCCTCTTTCCATCACCCCGCCCCATTCTCCCTCCTTCCATCACCCCGCCCCATTCCCCCGCTTTCCATCACCCCGCCCCATTCTCCCGCATTCCATCACCCCGCCCATTCTCCCTCCTTCCATCACCCCGCCCATTCTCCCGCTTTCCATCACCCCACCCCATTCTTCCGCATTCCATCACCCCGCCCCATTCTCCCGCTTTCCATCACCTCGCCCCATTCTCCCGCATTCCATCACCCCGCCCCATTCTCCCGGTTTCCATCACCCCGCCCCCTTCTCCCTCCTTCCATCACCCTGCCCCATTCTCCCTCCTTCCACCCCCCGCCCCTTTCTCCCGCTTTCCATCAGCCTGCCCATTCTCCCGCTTTCCATCACCCCGCCCCATTCTCCTGCGTTCCATCTCCCCGCCCCATTCTCCCGGTTTTCCATAACCCCGCCCCTTCTCCCTCCTTCCATCACCCCCGCCCCCTTCTCCCTCCTTCCATCACCCCGCCCTATTCTCCCGCTTTCCATCACCCCGCCCCATTCTCCCGCTTCCCATCACCCCGCCCCATTCTCCCGCTTTCAACCATCACCCCGCCCCATTCTCCCCCATTCCATCACCCCGCCCCATTCTCCCGCTTCCCATAACCAACCCCGCCCCATTCTCCTGCTTACCATCACCCCGCCATATTCTCCCACTTTCCATCACCCCGCCCCATTCTCCCCTCCTTCCATCACCCGCCCCATTCTCCCTCCTTCCATCATCCCACCCCATTCTCCCTCCTTCTATCACCCCACCCCATTCTCCCGCTTTCCATCACCACGCCTCATTCTCCCGCTTTCCATCACCCCGACCCCATACTCCCGCTTTCCATCACCCCGCCCCATTCTCCCGCTTTCCATCACCCCGCCCCATTCTCCCGCTTTCCATCACCCCGCCCCTTTCTCCCGCTTTCCATCACCCCGCCCCATTCTCTCGCTTTCCATCACCCCGCCCCATTCTCCCGCTTTCCATCACACCCGCCCCATTCTCCTGCTTTCCATCACCCCTCTCCGTTCTCCCTCTTTCCATCACCACGCCCCATTCGCCCTCTTTCCATCACCCCTCCCCATTCTCCCTCTTTCCATCACCCTGCCCCATTCTCCCTCTTTCCATCACCTCGCCCATCCTCCCTCTTTCCATCACCCCCACCATTCTCCCCGCTTTCCATCACCCCCGCACCATTCTCCCGCTTTCCATCACCGCGCCCCATTCTACTGCTTTCCATCACCCCGTCCCATTCTCCCGCTTTCCATCACCCCGCCCAATTTTCCCTCTTTCCATCACCCCGACCCATTCTCCCTCTTTCCATCACCCCGCCCCATTCTCCCCCAATCCATCACCCCTCCCCATTTTCACTCTTTCCATCTCCCCGTCCCATTCTACCGCTTTCCATCACCCGCCCCATTCTCCCTCTTTCCATCACCCCGCCCCATTCTCCCTCCTTCCATCACCCCGCCCCATTCCCCGCTTTCCATCACCCCGCCCCATTCTCCCGCATTCCATCACCCACGCCCCATTCTCCCTCCTTCCATCACCCCCGCCCCATTCTCCCGCTTTCCATCCCCCACCCCATTCTTCCGCATTCCATCACCCCGCCCCATTCTCCCGCTTTCCATCACTCGCCCCATTCTCCCGCATTCCATCACCCCGCCCATTCTCCCGGTTTCCAATCACCCCGCCCCCTTCTCCCTCCTTCCATCACCCTGCCCATTCTCCCTCCTTCCATCACCCCTGCCCCTTTCTCCCGGCTTTCCATCAGCTGCCCCCATTCTCCCGCTTTCCATCACCTCCGCCCCAATTCTCGTTGGCGTTCCATCTCTCCCCGCCCCATTCTCCCGGTTTCCATAACCCCGCCCCCTTCTCCCTCCTTCCATCACCCCGCCCCATTCTCCCTCCTTCCATCATCCTGCCCGTTTCTCCGCTTTCCATCAGCCCGCCCCTGATTCTCCCGCTGTCCATCACCCAGCCCCATTCTCCCGCTCTCCATCACCCGCCCCGTTCTCCCGCTTTCCAAACCCCCGCCCCATTCTCACGCTTTCCCATTCACCCGCTTCCATCTCACCCCCGCCCCCATTCCGCTCCTCTCCGTCACCCCGCCCCCTCCCGCTTTCCATCACCTCGCCCCACTTCTCACGCTCTCCATCACCCCGCCCAATTCACCCGCTTTCCAGCACCCCGCCCCATTCTCACGCTTTCCATCACCCCACCCCACTCCCGCTTTCCATCACCCCGCCCCATTCTCCCGCTTTCCATCACCTCGCCCCCATTCTCACGCTTTCCATCACCCCGCCCCATTCTCCCGCTTTCCATCACCCCGCCCCATTCTCCACTCCTTCCATCACCCCGCCTCATTCTCCCTCCTTCCATCACCCCGCCCCATTCTCCCGCTTTCCATCACCCCTCCCCATTCTCCCGCTTCCCATCACCCCGCCCCCATTCTCCACGCTTTCCATCACCCCGCCCCCATTCTCCCGCATCCATCACCCCGCCATTCCTCCCGCTTTCCATAACCCCGCCCCCATTCTCCTGCTTTCATCACCCCGCCATATTCTCCCACTTTCCCATCACCCCCGCCCCATTCTCCCTCCTTCCATCACCCGCCCCATTCTCCCTCCTTCCATCACCCCACCCCATTCTCCCTCTTTCCATCACCCCGCCCCATTCTCCCGCTTTCCATCACCACGCCTCATTCTCCCGCTTTCCATCACCCCGCCCCATACTCCCGCTTTCCATCACCCGCCCCATTCTCCCGCTTTCCATCACCCCGCCCCATTCTCCCGCTTTCCATCACCCCGCCCCTTTCTCCCGCTTTCCATCACCGCCCCCATTCTCTCGCTTTCCATCACCCCCGCCCCATTTCTCCCGCTTTCCATCACACCGCCCCATTCTCCTGCTTTCCATCACCCCCTCTCCGTTCTCCCTCTTTCCATCACCCCGCCCCATTCGCTCCTCTTTCCATCACCCCTCCCCATTCTCCCTCTTTCCATCACCCCGCCCCATTCTCCCTCTTTCCATCAACCTCGCCCCCATCCTCCCTCTTCCATCACCCCGCACCATTCTCCCGCTTTCCATCACCCCGCACCATTCTCCCGCTTTCCATCACGCCGCCCCATTCTACTGCTTTCCATCACCCCCGTCCCATTCTCCCCGCTTTCCATCACCCCGCCCAATTTTCCCTCTTTCCATCACCCCGACCCATTCTCCCTCTTTCCATCACCCCGCCCCCATTTTCCCCCAATCCATCACCCCTCCCCATTTTCACTCTTCCCATCACCCCGTCCCATTCTCCCGCTTTCCATCACCCCGCCCCATTCTCCCTTTTTCCCTCACCCCGCCCCATTCTCCCCCAATCCATCACCCCCGCCCCATTTTCACTCTTTCCATCACCCCGTCCCATTCTCCCGCTTTCCATCACCCCGCCCCATTCTCCCGCTTTTCCCATCACCCCCGCTCCATTCTCCCGCGTTCCAACACCCCACCCATCTTCTCCCCTCTTTCCATCACCCTCCCCATTCTCACCTCTTTGCCATCACCCAGCCCCATTCTCCCGCGTTCCATCACCCCGCCCCCATTCTCCCTCTTTCCATCATCGCGCCCCATTCTCCCTCTTTCCATCACCCCGCCACCTTCTCCCGCTTTCCATCACCCCGCCCCATGCTCCCGCTTTCCATCACCCCGCCCCATTCTCTCGCTTTCCATCACCACGACCCCATTCTCCCGCTTTCCATCACCCGCCCCATTCTCCCGCTTTCCATCACTCTGCCCCATTCTCCCCGCTTTCCATCACCACGCCCCATTCTCCCGCTTTCCATCATTCCGCCCCATTCTTCTCCTTCCCATCACCCCCGCTCATTCTACCTCCTTCCATCACCCCGCCCCCATTCTCCCGCTTTCCATCAACCCGCCCCATTCTCCCGCTTTCCATCACCCCGCCCCATTCTCCGCGTTCCATCACCACGCCCATGCTCCCCGCTTTCCATCACCCCGCCCCATTCTCCCTCCTTCCATCACCCTGCCCCATTCTCCCGCTTTCCGTCACCCCGCCCCATTCTCCCGCTTTCCATCACCTCGCCCCATTCTTCTGCTTTCCATCAACCCGCCCACATTCTCCGCTTTCAATCACCCCGCCCCATTCGACTCGCATTCCATAACCCGCCGCCATTCTCCCGCTTTCCATCACCCCGCCCCGTTCTCCCGCTTTCCATCACCCCGCCCCATCCTCCCGCTTTTCATCACCCCGCCCCATTCTCCCGCTTTCCAACATCCCGCCCCGTTCTCTCCCGCTTTCCATCACCCACGCCCCATTCTCCCGCTTTCCATCCCACCCCGCCCCATTCTCCCGCTTTCCATCACTCCGCCCCATTCTCCCCGCTTTCCATCACCCCGCCCCATTCTCCCGCTTTCCATCAACTCGCCCCATTCTCCCTCCTTCCATCACCCGCCTCATTCTCCCTCTTCCATCACCCCGCCCCATTCTCCCGCTTTCCATCACCCCGCCCCATTCTCCTGCTTTCCATCCACCCAGCCCCATTCTCGAGCTTCCATCACCCCGCCCCATTTTCCCGCTTTCCATCACCCTGCCCCAATCTCCTGCTTTCCATCATCCCGCCCCATTCTCCCTCCTTCCATCACCCCGCCCCATCTCCTCCCGCTTTCCATCACCCCGCCCCATTCTCCCGCTTTCCATAACCCCGCCCCATTCTCCCTCCTTTCATCACCCGCCCCATTCTCCCTCCTTCCATCACCCCCCCCGCCCCATTCTCCCTCCTTCCATCGCCCCGCCCCATTCTCCCACTTTCCATCGGCCCGCCCCATTCTCCCGCTTTCCATCACCCCGCCTCATTCTCCCGCTTTCCATCACCCGCCCCATTCTCCCGCTTTCCATCACCCTGCCCCATTCTCCCGCTTTCCATTCAGCCCACCCCATTCTCCCGCTTTCCATCACCCCGCCCCATTCTCCCCGCTTTCCATCACCCTGCCCATTCTCCCTCCTTCCATCACCGCGCCTCATTCTACTCCTTCCATCACCCCTGTTATAGTCGAAGTAGGCTCCAATGTGCCTAAAACGAAAGATAGAGTGCACAGTCGGATTTCTGCACAGCGGCGTCAAACGTTCATAGCGTTTTGGTCACAGCTTCAAATGACTTGATTCAACTTGGATCTGGAGCGTCTTATTGTCGCCTATAATAGGCAATTTAGATCGCACGATTTGACCAAGTATGACGACACAGGGTCGGTTTGAACGAACGGCACTATGGCAGCCACTATAGTCTTAGAACACAAGATAGGAAAAGTTAGGAAGAATTACGAGTTGGGAATAACTCCCAGCTCCTACAAACCACAAGAGCCGAGGTACAGTGATGTGGAACAGTGCCACACTGTCCCCAACCATGAAGGGTCTCGAAACTACCCTTCACTAGGGCCTACACCAAGTGAAATGTTACACTACACAAAGTAATGTAACTATCTTCAATATCTTGAGGTGTACCCTTTTGGCGAGCTTTGAAATCACTTGTGGATTGACACCAAGGCTCGGCTCTTCATCACAAACTCATCCTTGAGTTCTTGATGGGTCTGCTGCACACACCTGCGACACATCGAACCGTTCGACACAGGACAAAAGAGAAACCGCGCACGACAAAATAGAAACCCGCGCGCGAGACACAAACGACCCGCGTAACACGCGTCTAGCCATAACTCGCTATTGACTCGACACATACACTCGACATCATGACTCAACATTCACACACAATTATAAGCATTAAATATATATTATCCCATGCCCTCATGCCATTTCATAGACACACACACATGCACGCACACGACAACAAGCCGAGTGCAAACCATAGGGTTGCACCAACAAACTCCCCCTCGGATTGTTGGCCTTAGGATATGTTGCTCTGTCAGTTCAGAGCCATCCCAGCCAGCTTGCAACACTTCCAATGCTGCTGCTCCACCAGCCTCTTGGTCATCATGTCAGCCGGCTGCCCCGTGGTCTTCACGTAGCGCAACTCAACTTCACCCGCGGTTACCATGCTCCTCCTCCAATGCCACTTCACCCTCATGTGCTTCGTGAGTCCATGCAACACAGGGTTCTTAGAAAGAGCAATGGCACCCTGGCTGTCACAATATAGTGGGGTAGGTCCTTGCTGCTCCTCCCCCAATTCAGCCAACAAACGCCGCTGCCACACAATCTCCCGTACGGCACGGAAGAGTGCCATGTACTCGGACTCCACCAGAGCTCAAAGCTTGGTCAACCTGCTTCTTGCTCTCCCAAGCAGTTGGGCCTCCACCAACACAGCATATGAAGCCTCCCACACTCTGCCACTACCATCATCAAACCCCTCTGGCTGCGCCATAAAAATCTCCTCCTCAAGGATGCCGTTGAGGAATGCCGTCATAATGTCCATTTGCTTCACCACCCATCCCTTTGATGGCGGCTCCCGCGAATAGGGTTCGCAGCGTCCTCGGCTTCACCACAGGGGCAAACAGCTCCTTGAAGTCCAACCTTCTCCTTCTGCTGGTACCCCTTGGCTACAAGCCTAGACTTGTAACGCTCGATCTTGCCGTCGGCATCCGACTTGATTTTGAAGAGCCACTTGGACGTTATCGCCGTACGCCCCTCCGGTAGCTCACCAATTCAAACGTGTCACTCTCCTCGATGCACTTCAGCTCACTCTCCATGGCCTTCTTCCACTCCTCAGCATCACTACTCTCCAAAGCCTCCTTGAGAGTTGCTGGTTCTCCCGGCATCTCCACCGGAGAGAAGAACGCGAAGGCACACTCCTCGTAGTCACTCTCCTCATCGTCTCCGACCATCATTGCCGCTCCGGCCAGGGCTGTCTTGCCTTGCTTTCCAAGTGCATCATAGGTCAGCCTATTAGGGGGTTGAATTCTCCTCTTCCCCCTTCCTTCCTCCTCAGCTGCAGGGACTTGAAGGCCTTGGCGTTGCTGCGGTGTGGCTCGATTCCGTGGAGCACTCGTGTACGGGAAGGGAGTGACGGTGCACGTTCGCTCACTTGCTGCACCTCCTCCTCTTCTTCCTCTGCATCAGTGGCCTCCTCTCCCCCATTCACAAGGGAGGATTGCCTCGTGGTTGTTTTGCCGCTGCTCAGCTCCAAGGCAGCTCCACATGCTCCAAACCGGAACTCTTCACCTCCCCAAACCGCACGCCTATCTCCGCCTCATTCTCCGCCTTCCAATCCTTGTACATGAAGTTCTCCATGAACTTGCAGTCCTTGCTCACCAAGAACTTCTTGGTGAATGGGTCCCAAAGAAGCCATCCCTTGCTGTTTTGAGCCATGCCCAAGTGCACGGCCCACACCGCCTTGGCACCAAGCTTGTTGTGCCGAAGATGCTTAGGCACAAGCGCCATGCACATGCACCCGAACACCCGAAGCATATCCACCCTTTGGCTTCCTTCTAGCCACTCCACATAGGGCACCCATTTGTCTGCTCCCACATGATTCAAGGCTCTGTTCTTGGCCACACATGCGCTCCGCACCGCATCAGGCCAGAAATAGTTCGGGTAGCCCGGCTTCAATGAGCAACCCGCGTGCAGCCTCCGTGATTGTGCGGTTCGCTCGCTCAGCGATGCCGTTCATTGCAGGGGAGTATGGCATGGTGAGGGAGTGCCGAATACCATTCTTCTTCAGCCACAACCCAAACTCCTTGTTCAGGAACTCTCCCCCTCGATCGGTGCGGATTGACTTGACTAGACGGTCTTGTTGCCGCTCCACCATCGGGAACAATCCGCCTTCAACGTTTCAGCCACGTTGCTCTTCTTGGCCAGCACGTACACCCAAGTCATACGGGTGTAGACGTCCACAATAGTGAGGAAGTACTCAGCTCCAGCAGCTCCAAGCTTCAGGGGGCCCACCACGTCCATCACCACCTCATCAAGTGGTGCCTTAGCCGTTGCCTCCGAACTAGAGAATGGGAAACGGGTGAACTTGGCTTGCATGCACGTCGGGCAGCCAAGTACCTCATCGGGCTCCCCCTTCACACGTATGCTGCTGCAAGATGGGCAGGGCCACATGCCCCATGCGCCGATGCAAGGTGAGCCAATCACACTCCCCCGTAGCCGAAGTTGGATTCGAAAATGCCGCGCTCGCAATAGCGCCCCACATACTCTCTCCGTAGTCCTCCTCCCGCTGTTGCCTCGGGGTTCTCCTCACCCTTTTGCTGCTCCTTGGTTGCTGCACCACTCTCCTTAGGTTCACTAAACTTGCTGGTCCCTCCAAGATTGCACTTCTTGGACTCCTTCTCCTTAGCGCGACCGTCCGCGCAATCGCCGCTACCAACCGCTCCACCTTTAGTGCTGACGCTTGCTGCCACTTGCCTCTCCTTAGGCATTGGGACCACAGGGATCTGCCACATCTCGTTGTAGACATCTCCGTCCTCATGAAGGTCCCAAAGAATCCGATCGCCAAGCCTTGCGGTGTAGGTCTTGGCTCCCTTCGAGTTAGTGTCCATGCCGGCCTTTGCCAACCGCCGCACGGAAATCAGGTTCGCAGCAAGGCTGGGCACCCAAAGCACGTTCTTGAGGCCCACCATCTTCCCATCAGCACCCTTGAACATGGCCTTCCCCATGCCTTTTACCTCTGCTCGCTGCCCCAAAGCCGATGTGACATGCTTCACCGATGACGGTTCAAGTTCGGTGAGCAAGTCCGGGCGAGGTGTCATGCTATAGGTAGCGCCACTGTCGATCACCCAATAGTCCAGGGGGTGTAGGGTCACCTTCCCTACAGCTGCTGGCTCCTCAAGGTCTTCATCCTTCTCTGGACCAGCCGGTACTTGCGTCGACACGAAGTAAAATAGGCCCGGGTACCGATCGCCGCTCGGGTCCTTGTCGTTATCTTCGCTCTTCACATTTGCAGCACCGCCACGGCCTCCACGGCCTCTTCCTCTCCCTCCTCCTGCTCCTTTACCCTCTTGGCCTTGAGCAGGGGTCCATCCTTCAGGGAGTTTGAAGCAATCGCGCCACATATGTCCGCTCTTGCCGCAATAATGACATTCGCCGTCGAATCGACCGCGACCGCGTCCGTAGCTCTTGTCGTCGCTGCCGTAACTGCCGTTCCCGCGGCCTCCACTGAAGTTGCCGCCACCAGATCTTCCTCCCCCTCGTCCTCTGCCTCTTCCTCGGCCATATCCACGGCCGACGCTAGCTGCCCCAGCGCCATCCGCACTCGCCAACTCACGGCGGCGGAAGTCCTCTTGTAGGATCGCGCGCTTCACGCCTTCAAGCGAGAGACGGGGCAGGTCACGGTTCAAATTGATGATGAGCGAGGACCACGACTCGGTGAGTAAGGCCAGCAACTTGGTCTTCTTCTGGAGCTCACTGTAGTTCTAATCAGCTCCCTCTAGCCGCGTTAACAAGTCGAAGAATCTCTGCACCCCGTCTTCCACGGGTTCATCTTCCTCAATTCGTGGCGTCGCCATTTGCCGTTCCAACACCACAGCTACCGCCGCTGTTGCAGGAGCGTGTACACCCTTGAGAGCAGCCCATGCCTTTTGTCCTTTCTCTGGTTCATGCTGGAAAGGCTTGATGTGACGGATCTGGTTGCTCCCCGACGCTTGCCCAAGTAGAAGATAGCCTTGTGCGCTCTTCCGCACCCACAGGCTCTTCTCCGGGTCGTTCTCGGGACGCTTCTCCGTTCCTTCCATCACCTCCAGCAGGTCATAATGGTCGAACACGTTCTCCATTCTGAAGGACCGTTCAGCAAAGTTGTCGCCGTTGAACTTGTCAAGTCCGAACGCTCTTGGTTCATCCCTAGAAGGTCCAAGAGTAGGTTGCACGGGCGCCACGGCTGAATCACGGGCTTGGCCTTGTGCTTGGGCATCTCCATTGCCACCAGCACCTCTGCCACCCCTTTCTCCAGGTCCAGTCATAGTCGTAGCTGCTCCAAGGGGCTCTGATACCACTTGTTATAGTCACAGTAGGCTTCAATGTGCCTAAAACTAAGGATAGAGTGCACAGTCGGATTTCTGCACAGCGGCTTTAAACGTTCATAGCGATCTGCTCACAACTCCAAATGACTTCATTCAACTTGGATCTGGAGCTCCCTAACGTCGCCTACAATAAGCAATTTAGATCGCACGATATCATCAAGATTTGACGACACAGCGACGGTTTGAACGAACAGCACTATGGCAGCAACATAGTCTTAGAACGCAACTTAGGAAGAGTTAGCAAGAGTTACGAGTTGGGAATGACTCCCAGCTCCTACAAACCCCAAGAGCCGAGGTACAGTGATGTGGAACAGTGCCACACTGTCCCCAACCACGAAGGATCTCGAAACTACCCTTCACTAGGGTCTACACCAACTGAAATGTTACACTACACGTTGTAATGTAACGAATCTTGATATCTTGAGGTGTACCCTTTTCGCGGACTTCGCGAACACTTGAATGTTGACACCAGGGCTCGGGTTCTTCATCACAAACTCATCCTTGAGTTCTTGATGGGTCTGCTGCACACACCTGCGACACGCCGAACGTTCGACAAGCGACAAAATAGAAACTGCGCACGACAAAATAGAAACCGCGCGGGACACACAAAATGACCGCGTTACACGCGACTAGCGATAACTCGCTATTGACTTGACACACACTCAATATCATGACCCATCATACACACACTATTGTAAGCATGAAATATATATTATCCCATGCCCTCATACCATTCCATGCACACACGCATGCACGCACACGGACAACAAGCCGAGTGCAAACCGTAGGTTGCACCAACAATTCTCCCGCTTTCCATCACCCCGCTCCATTGTCCCGCTTTCCACTACCCCGCCCAATTCTCCCTCTTTCCATCACCCCTCCCCATTCTCCCTCTTTCCATCACCCGGCCCCATTCTCCCGCTTTCCATCACCCCGCCCCATTCTCCCTCTTTCCATCACCCCGCCCCATTCTCCCGCTTTCTATCACCCCGCCCCATTTTCCCGCTTTCCATCACCCCTTTCCATTCTCCTGCTTTCCATCACCCCGCCCCATTCTCCCGCTTTCCATCATCCCGCCCCATTCTCCCTCTTTCCATCACCCCGCCCCATTCTCCCGCTTTCCATCACCGCGCCCCATTCTACTGCTTT